TTTTTATAATCGGTTAAACCAGGCGCTGCAATTATATTTCCTTCAAATCTCACCTAGATTAAAGAAAATTCGCTGATTAGCATTTTCTTCGTTGCCGACCAGGCAAAACGGTAACGTGTCTGCTTTAATATACCCTAAATGTTAATCCGCTCCCATCTAAAATTCACATCGTCCTATTTTAATATTCAGCGCCTCTAGCTTCTTATTAATTCAATATAATTTCCCTGGCTCAAATTAGCATTTATGTGGCGCCGACTAATTAATCCATCAATACCGATCAGTTTCAAAAATGCCTACTGATTAATAATTGACACAATCCCTCAGGCGCAACGTTTAATGTAAATCAGTCGAAATTGGCTGCAATCATTTCCAGATCTAACACCGTTCGGCTTTTCCATTTTGCCGATGCGCAAATACACACACTAATTGACTTTCCAGCAGGAAAACAACCACACAGACATAAATCCTGATAAAAGACTCATTCAATTAACTAACTCCCATAAGCCGAAAACCTGTTACGAAAAACGCAAATGCGCCATCAAGAAGCATTCAATGCATTCGTATTTGAAATTAAGCGAACACAATGTTTGGCTGAACGTGCCATTCGCATTAAGTTTTCATTGCAGCTCACGTTTCCACTCACCAATCAACCTGGAATATGATAATGATAAAGTCAGCTAATCAGCTATTCCTGCTTCAGTGACTAGAGGAAAAGGCGGTGCTTTAGACGCTGGATCCCTTAAATGTTAATTCGCTTCTTTCCCTAATTAACCCCGCTACGCTCCGGTGCTCAGTAGTTCTAATTTAAATTTAATTCAGTTTATCTACCCAGTACAGAACGAGATTATCCCTTAAATAATAGTTGCTCTGTGGCATAAGTTGCGAACCGAAATTGTATAAGCACATTTATTTAATAAGAGTTAATGGAGCTTGCTGATGTCACCCAACGACATGTGGTACAATGTTAAGAACGATCCCCGATACTTTTTTTTATTTATTACCGATTACTAGATTTTCGTACTTTAAACAAGGAGGAGATTAGTGAGTTAGAAAACAGTAGACAATTTTGAGGATGTCGAGTAAAGAGCACGAGCGAAAGTGTTTGGTGTAGAGAATGGAGCGAAAGGTTGATACCATCGAATCAGCAAGTTTTTGTTAATATTTCTTGATCAATTTCGAGCTTTTAAAGCCCGAAGGAAGAAATCGGCTGACTGTTCTTTAGAATATTTTGATCACCCACCCAGCTTCCTAATATCGCAACTTGCACATCACATCAAAATGTAAATACCATCTACCAACAGACAGTTTTAATTATAGTCTGATGTCCCCGCACTAAAGAGCCTGCAGGCAAGTTTCAATTCAGCAAATAAATACCTAAGTTGGGCAATAAGCGAGGACAGGTCAAGTCGGAAATTCGAAGCGGTCGCTTTGATAAATCGCGGAAATGAGCAACCAAGCAGGCTCTCAAAACGCATTGGTTTACACTTTCACCCCTTTTTTCACTTCCTGTGTGCGAAGTTATCATGCCATTTGAGACAACGTTTTTCTTGTGAAAAACTCTGTAGTCGCGCCGCAATACTTAAAGATTCCAGATAGAAACTTGGAGTATTTGTAAGCGATTTTATCTCAGACGTTTATTAAGTAAATGGCCAACTAAATGTAAGTGGTCTGCAAAAGCCTCCAATTTTCATGAAAGCTGCCGCGTCTAAAGTCCAAGTTTTATGTGAAATTCAATTATTTTTGCCAAGCCAGAGATAATTGCTAATGATGCCGAGTTATTAAGCCCAGGATTTTTGGAAGATTTTATCACTTTCATTAATTAATGAACTTCAGAGACTCGCAATGCGTTTAATCAAATCTATCTAATCGGCCCCAGTATAAATTAAAAACGGAATTATCTACAATTTGCTTAAAGTTTTACTAGTTCAAGTTTGGAGGTCACTGCTGGAAACTGATTAGTTTTTTGATCAGGTCATCATCAAAAGTGATTTAATGCTGACGTTTCGCCGCCACGAGTGGCTTGGATCTTCAGAGGTTATTTGCTCGAAAGCTTCCACAGTGCAAACACCTCTATAGTTTCAAGTCACTCGCGCTTGCAAAACGTTAGGAAAAAACATTTTCACCACATCATACAAGCTCACCGAAAAACTCACCAGCTTTAGCTAGTTGTTGTCTTACTGCATTAAATAGAAATTCAATTTAAAAATACCGAAAAGAATAATAGAATGGTAATCGCCTTGATGCGAGGGTTGATATAAGTGCGCGCCCTAAAACATTTTATACAAATTCGAAATTTTTTTCGCTTCCAATTTTCGCCTAATGGATACAAAAAGACGAAAATTTATTTGAATTACGGTAGATTTTAGGGAAAGGGAGCAAGGCAATTCGATTATGCCATATTTTAGCCAGTTTCTTTCCCTTTGATTTTTTTCGTAATCCATTTCGCAACAAAAGAACGAGTATTTGCGCTTAATAAGTAATTTACTGTGGTTGTTTGCAGTTTAGTGAAAAAATCGCCTAAAGGCTACTAAATTTTGCGATTATTCTGCAAAATATATTTTCACTCGTTTTAAGCAGGAAAACAGGAGAAGTTGCATTGCTAAATAAAACAAACTTAAGTTCAAAGTGAACTTCAAGCCGCTGCTCCTCACTTATGTGAACAAATGGTCAATTTTTTACGGCTTCTGAACGTCTCTGGAACATTCGAAAATGATCTCGAGCACATACATCGACGATATTTCACAATAAATTATTTATTCTGGTATTTCGGAAATTGAAAAATAAATGATGCGGCCGTCATGGCGACGCTTTAGCAAAATTTGTCCTCTCTCTTAGGCTTCCAAAGAGAGTTATGACTCCGAATAGAATGAAAAAGGAGAATACAAATAAAACTCAACATTTCTGTGCACTTCCCCGGATGATCTATTGGGAGGCATGACAGGCCATGAAAGTAGATGAAAGTGCGATGCGGAATTGCTGAACGATTTACGAGATTGGAGAGTGAATTTGCCAAAGACTATTTCGCCCCGGTTTTTAATGGAAGGATCGGTCAGCTTAATTGCGGATAGACTGGACAGCGATAAACAAGAAATCCTCCAAATTCGTGTTTGAATAGTTCAATTGGAGGATAGTCAAGGATAGTCAAAATGAAGAATATGAGTTTTGCAGTTATCGGATCATAAAGATTTTTTATGGAACATTATCTATCAAGTGAGGAACATGATCTATTATTCTACATTGGCCTCTCATGTTGGAGTGTTCAATTCCGTACGTTCCATAACCAAACAGAGAGCGCGGCTGATGCAATTACGGCTTGAACATTATCCTAATATGCTCCAAATTAATAGGTCAATAATATCATCAGGTAAATGCCATCATTAAGGTAAGTTAATGATGTCGAAGTGCATGATGTATGTGTCCAGTTTCGTCTCCCCACTTAATAGATTTGATGGCATCAATCGGAGAAATATTGGTTTAAACACAGCAAAAAGTGGTCCAAAACTCAGTTATCAAGCAGAGTTGACTCGTTCCACTCGATCTTGGTCGAGTAAATCATCCCGATTATTGAAAGCATTAAATTTTCTCGTTCCCCGAACAATAATTCCCGAAATGTTTCTGCCTAAGTCCGAATAGGCCCTCGGGAGCAAATAGCTAAGTGATCGATACTGAATGCAATTGTCTCGAAGCGAATTTACTATGCGGTTTAGTCTAAGTGGTAAGGACAGAGCACGGATTATGCTATTTCATTTAAGTCGATTCTAGTGCGCTTTGTTCAAGTTTCGCCTTTCCCAATTCAAGATGCTTATTTCGCATTGTTTACATGGTTGCACAGCGCCATGAATTGTTACAACCGCCATTGATAGTTTCGGAAATACTTTGGAAACTTGCAATGATGAACTCTAGAACTCTAAAAAATTCCTGTCCAGGAGTTTCACTGCGGAAACATCAGCCTTCAATATTGGCAATAAAAATCAACCTTTCGGCCGAGAAATGCATTAAGCACCATGGTTGATGACGAAATTACTTTTCGAACAACTGAATCATCTAACCACTTAGAGAGTTCAAAACAGCGTTTTCTGCTACTTAGTTGCGCTATTCTTGTGACACGATTTAAACTTTGTCAAATAAGAAATTTCAATTAGGAAGTTCGAGCTGAAACAAAACGCACTCGACAGTATTTTAATGCGAAAGCTCGATCCGCGCTGTGTACTCAGCACTTCATCTACAACCAAAACTCCATTACTCGGTACCAGTTGAATTGGGTAAAGTGCAAAGGTTTGTTTTCGACTGTTTAGTTTGACAAGTTTTGCAAACTCGGAAAGTGGATTTAAATGATTCAGTGGACATGTAGCGACAGGCATCACATTGAAATTGTTAAGATACTGCAAAACCATGCAATTGGCGATGGATTTTGCGAATGCTTTTAGGTTTTGATGGCAAATCGGGCATTTTCCCTTGCGGCTCTTTTTGGAGCTTCACTTATATAATGATGTGAAAAACGTGCTTTACAGTTGGCGGATTATTCTAATCACTTAGGCATTTTATAGAAGCACAGCCAGGCTTTTCTAAAGATGAAATTGCATCTCGGTTTTAATGGTAAGTGATACGGCTTCTCATTCTAAAAGTTGTCAGGGTTTTTAGGAAATTAAAAATGGGTTTTCTGGCTAGGAGCCTCCGCTCACTTTTAATTTTTTTATCTGCAGTTCACCGCTTTTAGATATTTTAATCTGCGGAAAATGTCCATTGCTTTTTGGTTATTGTTCGATGGGGAAGCTTTTACTTAGTGAATTTGCAGTTGCAACTACCACACGGATTGACTGTCTCAGCAGATTTTCCCCAGCCTCAGTTTGGCCTAATTGGCGCCAGAATAATAGATGATCAAACACTTAACTACATCAACAGTTTCCCATGAAAATGCCTGCCTTGGCCACCTAAATTATCCCTTAGTGTTTCATTGTGAAAGTACTTACCCAAAACCAGCATTCCTTTCGTCTTCTCGTCCTCGCTTTCCAAAGTCGAAACAGAACAAGTAAAGTTTCCAGATAAATCGGGCCCAGTGTTGAGAATGTGTAACGCTCTATGGATACTGTTTGCGTCGACACTAGCTTGATGGTTCAAGTTCACGCGATCTTTTAACACACCCAGACTTTGCGGCCGATTTTTCGTACCTGCAAATGGATAAACAGCACATAAGACAATTTTCGCATGTAAAATGGGTCTTTAGACGAAAAACCAAGCAAATTCTATACAGCTCAAGTGAATATATCTCCCCTTATTAGTCCCTCGGTGAAGTTAGCTTATGCTTTCAGTCTGCTGGTCCAATGCCAATCCGGCGGAAAATCTAACAGAACACCGATAATACGAACGAAACCCTTCGCCTAAAATAACATTGAACTTACTTGGAATCCACTGATAAACGAGGGCCGTATTGAAATACCACTTGACCACTAGGTCAGTTTCGCTATCGTCCAACGTGAAATCACAGTCCAAAATGGCTTCGGTGCCATATTTCACCATGTCCGGAACGCGAAGTCTGTTTATTTTCACTGCTTCTGCCAGGTTTATCACAGCTGCAATGAAACAAAGCGGTTTTAGGGCCAGATTTCTTTAAAACAACTGGTCTTGTTGTTCGCATTCAACCGCTCCAAATAA